TTCGAGGATATGAGAGAATGTCAGTCAAAATGTGAGTGAAAGACGTGGGTGTTGGGGAAAATTAAGCTTTGGTACGAAAGAAATCGTATTCGAATGCCATAACTTGGAAGTACAGTTCTTCCGATTTCTTCGGGTTTCCAGGCAGACCGCATTTTTTGTGTGCATCCCTTTTTTTTTTATCAGATATTCATCAAAACTCGATCTTCTTGACCCGATGGGTGCTTCTCAGAATATATTTTCTGCGTTTGTTCCGAAATATTTTGCTCACTTGGTTGAAATTAATTAATATTCGACCCTATATCTAATATCTTCCGAAGAAATATCTTGTGCGAATATTGCGATGCAAAAAAAGACAACGTCGAATAATAGCCTTCATTTCTTGAATTGCGAAACATATATACAGTACATGAGTTCTCGCCAATTATTTTCTGGACTCCGCGGAGCACTGATTCAGAATCTATGGATAAGAACACTCGTTGAGTATGATCTTCTCTTCATGAAAAAATTATAAATAGACGAAATGTTCCCTTGAAGAAACGCGGAGAAATTCTTACCATTTATTTCAAATTCTTTATAACACAGGTGACACTATTGAAGAGCGATGGGGCTTCAATCTACCTTTCCAGAGACATCGCCGCTGCAATAGATCGCTACGAGCGATTGAAATTCGACGAAATGCTTTATGTGGTTGACAATACGCAAATGGACCATCTCAGGTGAACCGTCTTAGCCTTCGTTCGGTCACTGCTGAGAAATAAATCATTTTTCCGGGGATTTTTAGAGCGGTTTTCGAGTTGGTTGGACGATTCGCACCTGACGTGAGGTCCAAGTGCAAGCACGTGAATTTTGGGAGAATTTTGGGCATGAGTACGAGGCGAGGAACCGCGGTGATGTTGGCGGACATCTTGGATGAGGCTCGGGACCGAATGGAGGCTCAACAAGCCATTTCACCGAGTGAGTCCGGCATTTTTGATATTCGTTCACTTTACTGCGATTATACTCGTATTAATATGTCATTGATTCTATGACTTTGTACTCTCTCCGGCTTTAAGCCGTACTACTGAATTACAGTACTTAATTTTTCTTTATGAGAAATGAAATTTACAGGAAGTTTTAATTAAGGACATTCTGGGTCTTGAATGAGTTACTTGGAGGCAAGGGCTCATTTGCCCAATTAGTCTTTCACTCCCTTCCAGAACAGATGGTTACGTTTTTATCACAATTGGAGAATTAGTTTTCTCTCGTCAAAACAATTAACTTAATGTGCTATCTTTGTTTTCTCGTATTCTAGACACACGGGCAACAGATGCAGAAACCGTGGAGACTCTAGGACTAAGCTGTTTGGTCATCAATGTCCTAGCTCAGAGACGAGTCAGAGATTATGAGTTCCGGTGGGAACAAGCGTTAGCTGTGAGTTGGTCCGAAAAAAAAAATTGTCAAGTTGCTAGAAGTTTTAAAAATTGTCTACGGATAATTTTTGACTCTTTCTCACTGAGATTCTGTACAGTATCAAGTAATTCGTACAACGTTTCAATTACTGCACTGATGGACCGAATCTCGATTTTTTCATCATTTTTCAGAGCAAGGGAGACTCAGGAGTTGCTTTGCAATACTGCCATGCTAGGCTTTGCAGCTTGGAGGAGAAATGTGGAGTTGATGTGGTCGATTCTTTGACCAATGAACATTTACAGTCACTGCTGAGGTCGCCTGAGGCCATATTGCTTACTGCCGATTTAGCGAGGTATGCACAATATATTCTTTCTTCTAGAATGATCTGCCATATTATTCTATGGCAGATTTTCTCAATATGCGTTGTGCACAACCTTCGTAGAGATTCCGCCACATTCAAGAAAAACAATGCAGGAAATTTTTGAGTTGAAGCAGAGACACAAAACAGATCTGCTGCGGATAATTAGTGGGAACCTGTGGGGTCATGATTTATAGTGAAAAGGTTACTCATAACGAAGAACTCATAAAAAAAATTGCTTCGTGTAGAATTTTGCTTATCATTTCTTTAAATAAATAAATCTCGTACATGGAGGATTTGTTTCACATAAAATTTGGAAAAAGAAAAACTGTACTATTTCGTTGAAACGTTTTGACGGATAAAAATGTTATTGGCTTTTTAGCCCCACAGTTTTGTAAATTTCAGAACTAAAATTCCACGATTACTTATATTTCATAATGAACCAGTTCGTCCAAACGATTTCATATTTATAACTTGCTGAATTAGTCACTCAAAAAGGTTGATGAAGGATATTTTCTGTACTCCTGAAAAGAGTAGATATTTTTCAATTATAATTTGAGGAAAAACATTTTTTGCCGACTAAAAATCATCGTGCAATGGTCCATGTTTTTTGAAGAGTTCCACGATGCAAAGAATGGTTCAAGTACTTCTAATATCGGATCAATAATTACAAGAAATGCCGGAGACCTTTAATTCCAACAATTGAATATATATTTTTAAGAGGCTCTTCATGCTAATAAGATCAAGTTATTTATTGTCTTAATGGTTAAATTTGGATCCTGAAATATAATTTTGCTCTCCCTCAGATTTGAAGATGCCTTGTATCAAGGATATGAGAAATTTGAGTCTCAGCTGATGGTGGATTATCTCATGAAACTGAAGNATATCCTCAATAATAAATAAATATTGCCTATTTGATAGGAGTCAATTGTATCTTTATGAAGGTAAAAGTAAATTGGAACACAACTGCATCAAATCACTGTACCAAATAATGGAACAGGCTACACTTACATACCTGTAAGCTGTAGGTAATCTTCAAAATCTGCGAGCGCAGGATTAATGTCAATGATACTAATAAATACTTGAAAACATCGGGACAATTTCATGGACATCAGCAAATTTTTTTCGTTCCAAAGCTTATTCAGCTAGTGTCAAATACAGTATACTTCACTACGTTTCCAAAATTAGAAAAGAAAAATGTTCCTAGAGATAGCCATTGTTTTAACATTTTGTAAATATCACAAAATTCATCCTCACCACATAATCGAACATCAGCCACGGTTTTCGTTTCCAATCCAGAAACGACTCTAGCCCCCGAAACATTCCTAGTAAACAACATAGATCCCAGTTTGGAAACGTCTTCTTTCGGGTAATTGTCGAGCGTAAATGCTGTAGATAAAACGTTACAAATGAAGTGTCTCCCAGAATTTTTCGCAATGCAAAATCAACAAGTACTAACCCAAAGAAATATTGTTACTCTTCGTTTCCAAGATTCGCTCCCCGTGTTTTGCAGCTACGATCTGCAAAGCCGACTTCAGCTTCTCGTAGATCGTTTTTCTTTGGCTCAAAAGTTGCTTGTACCTGTTTACGCCCAATTCCAGCAAAGTCATCAGCACGTCTAATGAAGGTCCACACGATGCCCGACCTTTACGAGATAATGAGACGAATCTTAGAAATGAATGAACAGGAGCCCGAAACGTTATTCAAAATCCTAGAATCTTGTAACTTGCGTAAACCTCATACATCCTCAATGTTTGGCCTATACGTCACAAAATACTTTAAGCAAATGTACTGTATTATCAAAAGTCTTCTGAGAAGCACATCATCTCAAGTCTTTGTCCAAAACGGATCATGAATTTTTTCCCTTCGAATTCCTTTTCTGTTCAGTTCCCTCAATTCACAGGAGAGAAACAGACATGAGATTCGCTATTAGACGGGGAAGTGAAGTGCTTTTCGGAGTCATGAAATTCAGAAACGCTGATGATTTGACATTCAAATTTTGACTCCTCAACCCGTTTCCTTGCCTGGACTCCTCGTGATTTTTGCGATTCCAGGAAATGAGAAAGGAGCTGTTTAAGAAGGGTTGAATTTCAAAAGGGTATATTTTCGCTGTGAAGGAGAACCAGAAAATACGTACACAGTATACTCGAGCACCGGGCGTACCTTTCTCTTCAAACTGACAGGGAAAAAGGGAAGTGAGCATCATAGGCAGGTGAAAAAAGGTTCTAAAAATTCAGAATTTTAGGTGCGCATTATATTTTATTCTAAAGGTATATTTTGGACTGGTTCTATCATTAAAAAAAAAACTTATTTCAAGGGAACAACTGAAATTAGTTGAATTCGATATCAATTCATGTCTAAAATCAAATTTGGGTGTTGGTATTTTCGAAATATTGAACTTTAAGAGGCACTAAGAATAGGCTGCACTTGTTACTCGGGTGATAAAATTGCAAAAAAATCTATAGACTGCAAAACTTGGGTGTGTGTCTTCATTAAGGGCGCTTAGAACTAGAGTAAATGCGGCTTTAAAAACTAGAATTTCTGTGTTTAGGAAATGAGTTTCTAACGCAGGACTCGTTG